AAGCCATACTAGTTGATTTCTTCAATTTAACGAACTGGCTTTATTGTCCGTTCATGTTATCCTGGTACCTCCTGGTACTCCATAAAGGTATGGCATTTGTCGTTCAAATCTCAGCATTATTTATTTTCCTTGAATTCGACGGAAACTTAGTATGGTTGGTCTGAGCGGCGTCATTGTCTCCAAAGATCATTTACTATTAATAGCACTGCCATTAGTTTTTTTATCGCGACTAACAAACATGTCTTCCTACATTTTCTATTGCCACAGACTAGGGCCTATTAATTCCATTTGACTTTATAGTAATTCCCTTCTTACCTTTTAGATCAAATTTATTCTAAAAATGGTGTACCAAAACATACTAATCACGGTTTAAAAATTCGTAGCCTTTTTACCATTTCGAAATCATGCATTACAATAACTAGCGCTCTTGGATTGCATTTCTTCATAATCTAATTTCATCGCTTGAGCAGATTTCCCTGGATTCTCTTATTTACTGATCTAATATGCTTCTTTTTTTGACATTCTCGAGCTGTTTATAGGTATTAACAGTGCACTACTTCATCCACCTGCTCTAATCATCTTGTTTGTCAGTATTGTATCCACTGGTTACTAGTTCTTGTATAGAATGTATATGCCCCACATAACTTAGCTTAGGTGCCCAGATTTGCATCTTTACAGCATTGGGTTATTTATTTCACATTAACTTCTTATCTTCACTGGTCTGCTTTGATTTTAACTTGATTAGCCTTGAGCATATGCACTTAGACCCATTTTAAATATGACTATTTCGTTTATCGTTTTTTATCGTGTTTGAAACACGAAATTTATTTATAACTGGGGCACGTATAGTCTTCCCTTCTAGTTTTAGTATTTGCTGAACATGCTAATGCTTTTCTCATACTAACAATTGCCTAGTTCACTTATAAGTTATTGTAGTACAGTTAGAATATTCTATCATTAATTTCTGAACAAATGAGCTAACTTGCCGACTTCTTTGATCTTCTTTTTTACAGCAGAATGCTTACTTTTAAAACTGATTCTTTGTTCTATTCCTTTATTTGCCCTCTAACCATTGCTTTTTATTAACCCATTTATCTTTTTTTACTCTTGTCTCGCCTAATTCATAATAATGTGCGTGTACCAGTCTCTCTCCTTTACCTAATCTTTTTTCCTCAACATTCCGTATATTTATCTTTATCCTCGCTCTGCCTCTTGCCCAAAACTCCACGACCAATTTCTGTGCAGCAGTCGTAATCCGTTCAGCTCGGACTCAGACACGAGTACCCTGCCTCTTAGCTCTAACAGCAATGGTCTAACAACCGTTGTCAGGACCGATTCGGGCCCTAGCAACGCCAATGGTTCTGCCACTGAAAACCGTGGCCCAGAAACTGGCCTTCCGGGGGATCAGTATGCAGAATACATCGCTGCAATAACCTATGATGACGGGCGTCCTGGCATACGGGTTCGTGCTCTTTATGATTACAAGGGAATGGAGGATGATGAGATCACCTTTATAACAGGTAATACATACTTTATTAGTTTGCTTTACGACTCGTAAAGTTTTATCCCTCGTCTATCATTTATATCGCCTTTTTATTTCTTTTAATTATCAATAGAAGTGATTTATTTTGGAGATTATCTTTGTCCTTTTGACAGATACTAATTTGAAATTGTATTACAGAAAAGTTGTTTCAGGGGATCATACAAAGTCTCTTTTCTCCAATTAGTTTATATTTTATTAATCAGGTTAAAGGCTTTGAATAATTAAATGTTTATCAATCTTAGCTAATCCAGCTTGCATAATTCAGTGGACTGGAATTGTATTTCACAATTTAAGTATTCCATTTTATTATACTTGTATTTATACTCTATGTAGTTTTACACAGGATTAGATATGCTTTCTGAGTATCGAAATCTTATTTACACATCTTTTACTAAAATGAGGGCTTATTTTTCTCGAGGTTGCTTTGCTTATATTGTTCTATCTATTATTCCACTTGCACTTTTTAGGCGACATTTTCGAGAAACTCGAAGAGGAGGATGAGCAAGGCTGGTGTAAAGGTCGAAAAGATGGTCGCATTGGCCTATATCCTGCCAACTATGTCGAAGTTATTTAACTTTTCTCTGTGTTCCTACTCTTCTTGATCTTTTCATGTATTTAGACGCTCAAATCTTGCCAGCATCTCATCTTATTATCCTCTTTAGTCAGTGCCGCATTCCTTTTTAGCCACACAATTTATCAATCTTATCCGAGAACGAATAGGGAATAGAAACAACATAAACAAATAAGAATGCCTTACTTTTCTCTGACTTATCTAAGTGCATTATTACCTTAGGACGTTGCCATATAGGGCAAAATGAAGTGCGTTGAGCAAATCTAGATTGAAATTTTGTCCAGGCACACTCGTATGTATACATATGTTTATAACTATCCAAGCTTGCATTAGTATCAGCATTTTCTTATGCTTTTTCACCTACAAACCTCTATATTCTAATCCTCTAAGCATTTAACTTATTGATACCGATGCTTTGCTTCAGTTTATGTTCTTGTATCTAAGACATTTAAGACAGTGTGGTGTGTATGTCTGTACTCGTACGTGATTTTTTTTATGGCTTAATTTTTTTAGATATACATCTAAGAATTTATCAAGATCTACATTCCTTAAGCCTTCCTCATCCTTCTAAGCTCCTTATTTGCCTGG